GCTAAAAGCTTGCATTTTGGGTATTAGATTCCAAATCTACCACTAACTCTTCTCATTAGTAAAATGAGGGAAAGAACAGTACTTATTTCACGCAGTTGTTGTGAATACAAAATGAGAAAATATGTAAAGGGCTTGATACTTAGGAAGTAGTCAACAAACAGTAGGCATTATTATTACCACAACTTTAAGATCTTTATTGATACGTTTACAGGAAGAAACTTTTTATTCAGTGAATTATCTTTTGGGATCTGGGCACCATGGAGAAAATGTCAACTAACAATCTGCTTAGGGACTCTATCTCTGGAGGAGAAACAGACTATACTTGGGGCAGTAAGTCAGAGTTCTAAACTTTCTTGGACCATCCGTCATACAAATCTCTTAAGTGATGGTAAAGTGATCTCAACCCAAATCTTTTAATTATAAATTCGACTTTCATTTCACTATACTCTACTACCTTACCATAAGTGCTCATTTAACTGTACCACAAGCTTGGTATAGTTTTCATTGTCTGAGACTTTAGGACTTTATTGCTTGCATCTTCAAGGATAATCTTCTAAAATGTGAGGCCAAATGCTTGGAGTTCAAGTTTCTTTACTAGTCCGAGCAAACAGAGAAAGATTAAAAAAGAATGTAGCAACAACTGTGTGTCAACAGAAAATTATCTATTTAAATTAAAATTATCTATTTTAATTATTAGCAAGTGTGTCAATAGAAAAGTATCTGTTGACACACACTTCCTTCTTTCTACTAACTATGACCTCTAACTTTTCTTTCAATGCTTTAAAAAATAAAAGGAGATTTCTTACTAGGAACAGTATATTATCTTGGCAACTATAACCCTTTTATTGATAATATAAACCAAACAAATAGTCTGCCTGTAATAATAGATAGTAAACATGATGGCCATGCCCTAAAATCACAGTATGGGTAATAATAAACTTAATAAACTAAACAGTGAACAGAAAAAGTGCTCCACCAATATAAGGCTAAGGCAAACACTTAACAACGTTACTTATGCCATGGGGATTTTTATCTCCCTGCCTGCCTTCTTTTTCTTTCAACAAACATTTTTGTATGCCTACTATCTACTTGATACTGGGCTATTACAATGAAGAAAAACATGATCTCTGCTTTCAAAAGTGTGGTCTAAAGGCCAGGCGTGGTTGTTCATGCCTGTTGTCTCAGCACTTTGGGAGGCTAAAGTGGGATTGCTTAAGTCCAGGAGTTCAAGACCAGCCTGGGCAACATAGTAAGACCCCATTTTTACAAAAAATAAAAAAATTATCTGTGTGTGGTGGCACACACCTGTAGTCCCAGCTACTCAAGGGGCTGAGGTGGGAGAATCACCTGAGGCTCCAGTGAGCTATGACTGCACCACTGCACTCTAGCCTGGGTGACAGAGTGAGACCCTGTCTCAAAAAGAAAGAGGGTAGTCTAATTATGGGAGGGGAGGGGACTGATAAATACAATATTATGTAATAAACATTATGATAGGGATATGCACAGGATACCAGGCAGATGCAGAAAAAGGATATTTACTTTTTTGTAGTAACAATAGTTTTCAGGAAATTGCTTTTCCATGCCTTTTTAAAAAACTGATTTTTGAATCCCATCTATATCACTTTATCAACATCTTTAACTTTTTTTTCCTCAAAGCTGACTAAGAATCAGTGACTCTTTTACTACGTAAAATTTATACCATCAGGTAGCACCAAAAACCTATTTAATAATAAATAAATATGCTGGTTTTTGTAGGCTTTGTCTTCCATAAGTTAATTTATGACCAGTGATGCAATAACTCAGATTAATTATTGAAGAAGTTACAAAGTTCTCCCCAGTCTGATTGGCTATAACAACTGATTAAAACAATCAGTCTTGTGATTTTTCTTATTTTCAGATATTCTCCCAAAGGAATTTATTTTGTTGACATGGCTCTTAATTACAATGATACATTCTTTGCAATTCACTTGCATTATTTCATTACAAAGTGAATATACTGTCTTCAAGAAAAACTAGTCTTGCCATCGGTCTGGTCCTATTTACCTACCTAGGATTAATTCTCAGCAAAGACATAAAGAGGCAGAGTTTAGGCTTTTATAATTCCACTGCTTCCCTCACAAGCAGCCTTCTGAAAGTTATCACTGAAGCTGTTCCACCAAGCTTTTTTTGTTTATTGTCTCTCAACTTCAGTAAAGTACTGAAGTTAGACGAGGTTCTACATTCGTGGTATGCATCTCTGGGACAGGGAAAACAGTTCAGAAAATCAGATAGCTGGGGTTTGAAACCAGGCTGAAAATTTTAGAAACTGTGTGATTTTACCACTCTGAGCCTCAGTTTCCTTATTGTGAAATGGTGAATAATGGCTTTTTCCTTGTAGAGCTGTTACAGAATGCAATTAGATAATGTTTGTAAAGCACCTAAACTGTGTTTTGGTTCAGGGAAAGCATTCAATAAACTCTAATAAATTCCAGCAATGGTTTTCCTAGCAGTGCCAAATTTCTAAGGTTTACATTAAAAAAGAAAAACAGACTATGCAAAATTTTATTTGTATGTCTAATTTTTGAGAAGAAGCAGTGGTTTTCATTAGATCTTGAAAGATTTCTGTCTAAAAGTAGTTAAGAGTAGAAACAAGAAAAAAACCTGGAAGTTAACTTGTCTGCTGCCGGGTGCGGTAGCTCATGCCTGTAATCCCAACACTTTGGGAGGCCGAGGTGGGTGGATCATAAAGTCAGGCATTCAAGGCTAGCCTGGCCAAGACGGTGAAACTCTGACACTACTAAAACTATACAAATTAGCTGGGCGCAGTGGCAGGTGTCTGTAATCCCAGCTACTTGGGAGGCTGAGGCAGGAGAATTGCTTGAACCTGGGAGGCAGAGGTTGCAGTGAGCCAAGATTGCACCACTGCACTCTAGCCTGGGTGACAGAGAGACAGAGTTAGACTCTGTCTCACAAAAAAATAAAATAAAATAAATAAACAAACCTCGTCTGTAAATAAACATTAAGTACAAAGGTCATGTTTATTCCCATAGAACTTCTCTAAGCAGATTTCCCACTGCAGTTTCCCACCAGGAGGTCAGGGTACTGAGGAATGCATGCTACTACCCACGTTCTTATCTAGGAAAAGACAACTAACTATCGAAGAGGCAGTTACCGCACAAGTTTTTCCTATTCAAGTTTTAGAATCAGTCAAATCTAGATTTAAATACAAACTAAGTGACTTTAAGTAATTTAACTTCTTTGACTATCAGTTTCATCAAGTATAATATGAGGATAAGAAAACCTAGCACATCATCTGTTGCGAAGATTCAATAAAATAATATATACATAAAACATGTGGTACAGGCTGGGTGCAGTGGCTCACAACTGTAATCCCAGCACTTGGGGAGGACAAGGTGTGTGAATCACTTGAGGTCAGGAGTTTGAGACCAGCCTGACCAACATGGTGAAACCCCATCTCTACTAAAAATACAAAATTAGCGGGGTGTGGTGGTGCATGCCTGTAATCCCAGCTATTTGGGAGGCTGAGGCAGGAAAATCACTTGAACCCAGGAGGCGGAGGTTTCAGTGAGCCAAGATCACATTCCAGCCAGGGCAACAAGAGTGAAATTGTCTCAAAAAATAAAAAAAGTGGCACAGAGCCTGGCCTATTTAGTTTTTTGTTGTGGTTGCTGTTATTCTCATCAACTCCTCCATGTTACACTTTCCATTTGGTAAGATAATCCTTCAATGTTCTTAGTAGAGAAATAAAGATTTCTATAATTCCTCTGATGCTCCTGGGTAGGAAATGAAGACAGGGATCCCTGGGCAAGGGAAATGGAACTTACAGGTAAGATGTGTGGATAAACTTGGCTTTACAAATAATCAGAATAGATGACTCCCATGCCCTGTTCTTTGCAGGGTGCTGGAAAAGCCCACCCAGCCCCCTAAATTGCTTTCACTGCCACCCTGCCTGAAATTCCATCGTTAGAAACACTGTAATTCGTCTGGATCACTAAGAGCTCCTGAATGGATACCAGGACTCCTGGGAGGTCCGCCACCTCTCTTTATTAGGACCCCCTCCCCAGAGTACGAGTTTCTCCACGGGGAACGAGACTGCGCCACTCGCAGCTGCTGCCTTGAACACTAGGACGGCAGGTTGGGGGTGAGGGTGGGGGAACTCAGGGTTCCTGGCGAGGAACAAAAGTCGGGAAGGAGAGTTCTTCAAAACGCAGAGGAAAGCTTAGTGGGGAAAATGGGGCAGAAAGTGGAGCCAGAAAGAAAGGTGAGAAGAAAGCCAGAGAAACTTTTTCCTTCTGTAAATCGGTCTCAGTTTCGGGAGGTGGGGTTGGGGAAGGAGGGGGCTCACCCTGGGGCCGGGCCAGGGCTGGGTGGAGGAGGTGCCCTCCGAGAGGGTGAGTCGGGAAAGAAGGGGAGTGGGCAAAGGGTGAGACGCAGGTTCCCGATGGCCCCCTCGCTGGCTGCCAGTTCCCTCTGCGTTTCCTCGTCTGCGTGCAGGAGATAGTGCAGCGCTGGCGAGGGGCCTGGCATCTAGCAGCCGCGAGATAACCCGAGTCCGCGCGATGGGAAACGTGCCGTTGGCACCCCGCCTCCCCTCCATCATGACCCCAGTCTGCGAAACAGGGTTCGTGATGCTTAGTTTACGAGGGAGGAGCCGCGGCTTTGAGATCTCGTCCAGCCCGAAGCAGCGGAGACTGGCCTGGAGCTCGGCTGTCAGACGGCTGAGCGCACGCCGCGGGCGGGGGCTCGATCCAAGTGGGAGGGTAAGGGGACGCGGGGCTCACCCTTGAAGGAGACGGGGTGGGCTTCGGAGTCCACTGTGTGCCGCTTCTCGGCCATGCTGCCCGAGACACAGTCGCACTCCCCAGTCCTAGTCGGCGAAGTCAAAGCCGCGGGGAATGCCCTGAGGAGCAAAGCTAGGGGCAGCAGACCCCGGTGGCTGCCCCGCCCCGCTGTAGGTCCCGCCCCCCCCGGAGAGTCGGCCAATCAACGCCCAGGACAGAGGAGAACACACCTCCCACTCCCCGCCCTCCGGTCCCTCCAGCACTGCTGCTTCGCAGTCACTTCCCGCTCAGGCTGAGGGGCGTGGTCTGAGGGGCGAGATCCTCCGTGGCTTTGGGGACTAGGCCGGGCCCCTGCACCGGAAGGGAGGGCGGAAGCCAAGGGACGTGGAGCGGAGGGTGAGGGTAGCGGGTAGGCGGCCGCGGGGGATGGCCTGAAGAAAAAGTCCGGGTGATTCGCCCCGCGGGGTAGAGGTACTTGGACCCAGGCGCCTCGTCTGGTCCAGGGAGTTAGAGGGAAGAAAATAGCGCCCTCTCATGACGGAGGGAGATCTGAGTTGAGGGGAGAAGGCTGAGGTGCACCGACATGGCCGAGGTGAGGGCGCTGAGGTCAGCCTGAGCTGAGAGGGCAGGCAGATCAACCCTCAACCGAAGTGAACGAACTCAAGTGAGGTGTGTTAAGAAAAAAAAAATCAAAATGTATACATTTGGAAAAGGAGAAGAGGTCGGGCGCGATGGCTCACGCCTGTAATCCCAACACTTTGGTAGGCCGAGGCAGGTGGGTCATCTGAGGTCAGAGGTTCGAGACCAGCCTGGCCACCATGGTGAAACCCTGTCTTAACTAAGAATACAAAAATGAGCTGGGCGTGGTGGCACCCACCTGTAGTCCCAGCTACTCGGGAGGCTGAGGAAGGAGAATCACTTGAACTCGGAGGCGAAGGTTGCAGTGAATCAAGATTGCACCACTGCACTCCAGCCTGGGTGATAAAGACTCCGTTTAAAAAAAAAAAGAAAAAAAGGCCAGGAGCAGTGGCTTATGCCTGTAATCCTAGCACTTTGAGAGGCCAAGACACCTGAGATAGGGAATTCAAGAGCAGCCTGATCTACATGGAAAAACCCCGTTTCTACTAAAAATACAAAATTAGCCGGGTGCCATGGTGCATTCCTGTAATCCCAGCTACGCGGGAAGCTGAGGCAGGAGAATTGCTTGAACCCGGGAGGCGGAGGTTGCCGTGAGCCAAGATCGTGGCATTGCGCTCCAGCCTGGGCAACAAGACCGAAACTCCGTCTCAAAAAATAATAATAATAAGGAGAAGAGACTTTTATGTCTTGTAAGGGGTTACACCCTACAAGGTGGCCATCCTGCAGGCTGGGAAACGGTCAGGACCAGAGACAGGCACTTGGTAAGAGGAGGGGTTGGGGTTTACCCGAGCTTTAGATTGAACAGCTTGGGTAAACATGCATATTCAGCACTGACAGGAGTAGCTATGAATATTCATACAGGTGGTCCTGACACATGCCTATTGAGCAAACATGCATGTAACCATACAACTCCTGTTCACTTTGAAGAGTTACCATTTAAATGTTACATGCCTGGGCTACCTGGTGATGTCCCCATCTATACAAAAAGTAAAAGCAATAGCCAGATGTGGTGGTGTGCATTTGTGATCCCAGCTAGTCAAGAGGTTGGTGTGGGAGGATTGCTTGAGCCCAAGAGATGGAGGCTGCAGTGATCTATGATCAGATCTCTGTACTCCAACCTGATAGACTGAGACCTCATTTCTAAATAATAATAATACTACATGTATTACAGTCAAGCCCTATGTGTCAAAAGGTCTTTTCAGGACAGGAAGGTGTGCAAGTATGCAGTCTGTGTAAACTAGCCAGAGCCAATCCATGGTTGGTGGTCTTCCTGTCACGAGGTTACTGAAATCATGTCTCTTGTCCAAGCAAAGCTGTAGTGAAGGCTGGTGGAATAAGGGTTCAGTTAGTCTGCATCTGTTGGATCTGCAAATTGTTTTAATATTGCTTGTCTTAAGGCCAGTGCTTGTTTCGCTGCTAGAGAAAGAGAAAAACCTTGTGGCAGTTAGAACATGGTTTATTCTCTAAGTGAACGGATGTGTGACTTAACCTTTGCCTGGCATGACCTTAGGTATAATTTGTTTATAATTTGTTATGTTATTGCCACAGAGTCTCTTCTATTGGGTCTTATGACCTGTATTTTAATGTTAATGCTGGCCAGCTGTTCTGTCTAAACTCCAATAGGGAGAAGGTATGATAGGTGTTTCTGACCTGTCCTGTCATTGGTTGGGAACTCAGTTTTAAAGTTTTCTGGAGTCCTCTTGGCCGCAAGGAAGTTCATACAGTCAGTGGGGTCAATTATTCAGACAAAATCCTCTTGGAGCATCTTCCATGTGACAGGAGGTGTGCTCCTTGTTGGGGATGTGGTGGGCAAGCGCCTCTTGGAGTTTACCTTATACTCTAGTGGGGAGATGGGCAACAAACAAGTAAGTGAGTCATTACACATGGTGAAGGGAGCTGTGGAAGGAATGGAATATTCAGAGAACAGCAAAGGTTAGGACAGGGGAACATCTCTGTAAGGAAGTGGCTTTGAGATGTCACCTGAGAAATGGGAAGGAGCCAGCCTGGGGAAGGGGATTAAGCAGTGTGGGAGGTGGGAAAGGGTATCCCAGGCAGAGGGAAAAGCATGTTGCAGAGACATTCCCAACCTCAAGCCTCTTGGGTTGTGGCTGAAGATCTCACATTTGGAAACCAGGCTGTGTTTGAATTAGACTTGTTCTGTTGACAATGTTCAAAGTATGTTAATGTGCACAAGGTGCACTTTTAGAAACATTCAATTTTGAAAAAAAGTACAGATTCACAGGTAATTGCAAAGACAGTACAGAGAGGTCACATGTCCCCTCTACCCAGTTTCCCCCAATAGTTACATCTTATTTAACTAGAGTATGAAAACCAAGAAACTGACAGTGGCACAAAATGTATTGATAGTTCTGTGCCATTTTGACACATGTAGATTGATATAACCACAGCAACTGATACAGAACTATTCCATCACCACAAAGATCTCTCTCGAGAGGAGCACTTTTTTCTTCTTTTTTAATGTGCTCAGTAATTGGCTGTGTTCTACCCAACACGATGTAGTACTTAGGTCATATAAAATGGTAGACTTTCTCTCTGCTTTTATAGTTCTAGAGCTTTGTGACTATTGGGACGGAAACTGGAGGAGACACAACAGGTGTTAAGAGAGGCATTAAGATGATCTTTGCTCCAGGAACAGGCTACAATGTGTGATCAAAACCTGACTCAGAGCTCACAAGTATTCTAGTCAAATACTGGCCAAGAACTGTTTGTATTCCTGCCGTAGAGTGCAGCTTGTGCAGTCACTTTGTGTATTAGCCTCTGGAGAAGATAAGGAGGGGAGTATGGTAATTTAATGATCCCTTCTCTCTAAATCATCCTTGAGAAAGTCCATAGCTTCATTTTTTTCCATTCTGTAATGAATAAGCCCTCAAGGCATGAACTTCCCGTTTATCCTGTCATTCCAGGAAAGAGGAGCAAATGCACAAGAAGCTAATTAAACCCTTCACTAGAGGAGGCCTTGATTACAAATTGCATATGAAAAAGAATTTAGGTTTCACTTTTGTTGGAAAGGAAAATGGTATTTCAAAATGAACTTAATGTCTGTACCCCTATCAGTTACCTAAGCCCAAGTCTCAAGACAATCCTAACAGTGTCCCTTCTGGAGAATTACAAGTGTCTCCCTTTGGGACAGAGACTTTGGTGAATACTTGTTGGCTCTGGTTTGAGACTGCATGAGTTCTAAAACTGATTCCTGGCCCTAAACTAAGAACAAGCTTTGACTTGATTTTTAAACTGCTTTTAGAATAGCGTTTCCAATTTTTGATTTAAATAAGCTTACTTTCACTTGCCCATAAAATTGGTGTATTCTGGCTTTCTCATGCATATTCTGTATAAATGCACTGATTAAATGTACTTTAAAAATAAATTTTTCACTGTTCAGTTAAGATTAGAAAAAAAATAAATATTAGCATGTCACTTTCTCCTTTTGGAAGATTTTTAATCTTAAAATTTCTCCCAGTAATTTATTAGAAGTTAGAATGATGTTTTTTTTTTTAAAGAACGTTATGGTGGGGCTCAGTGGCTCATGCCTGTAATTCTGGAACTTTGAGAGGCTAAGGTAGGCAGATCACTTGAAGTCAGGAGTTTGAGACCAGCCTGAGTAACATGGTGAAACCCCAGCTCTACTAAAAATAAAAAAAAATTAGCCAGGCATGGTGGCACATACTTGTAATCCCAGCTATGTGGGAGGTCGAGGCAGAATAGCTTGAACCTGGGAAGTGGAGGTTGCAGTGAGTGCAGATCGCACCACTGCACTCCAGGTTAGGCGACAGAGTGAGATGCATCTCAAAAAATAAAATAAATAACATTATACTTTTAAAATGGAGACATAAAATTGTGAGTACTTTGAAGAGAGAATTACGTATTACCTCTAACAAAATTGCTATTACAATTTTGGTGAATTTTTCCCCAATTGTTATTTAAAGGATACTTATATATAGTTTGAAAATCAGAGTAGATGTTCCATATTTCTTTATGTTTCATTTTGCTGTTATTTGCCAAGCGTATTCAGGGTACCAAATTAAGTATTGATTGATGGTAGCAGTGATAACATTAAGACGTGGAGATCAGGTTAAAGACAGATATGCACCATGAATCCATAATTGAGTAAGTCAGAAGGAAATTTAATTAGCCTTTTTCCTGTGTCCATTGCAGTGCTTTAATAAGAACAACAGAGAATTCTTTTTTTTTCTTTTAATTTGCTAATCCAGGATGTTCTCAATGCTTTTATGGACGTCAGCTAGCTAAATACCTTGAGAGAATAGCAATACCATCAAGTTACATCTGTTTGTGACATTTTCTCTATGATGGGACTAACAAATTTGATCTGTATTAACTGATTTTAATATGTATTAACTCACACTTATTGCACTACAACAAGATTTTTGTCTTCTTAGCTCTTCTCTTCTTTGGGAAATTACTCCAGGATTTGAATGGTCACAAGAGATTCACCAGAGGATTTTATACACTTGGTCTGTGGCAGCAGATTAATTACACCACAACACCAGGTAAGACAGCAGGGGTTCAGATCCTCAGGGCTTATGAAAATAAAAAGGATTGCTGTAATATTGGTGCTATTTATTAGAGTTATCTATAAACATAATCTTATTAATCTGCTTTTTTATTGGTTCACTCAGTAAATACTTATTGCATACTAACTACATGCCAGGCATTGTTCTAGGTGTTTGGGCCACATCAGTGGCCGAAAAAGACCAAAATTCTTTTCCCCATAGATCTTACATTCTAGTATTCCTTTCCAAGTGCATTAGTTGCTAGGGTTTCTATGACAGACTGGGTAGCTTAAGCAGCAGGAATTAATTTGTTTTACAGTTCTGGAGGCTAGAGGAAGTCCAAGATCAAGATGTTAGCAGGGTTGGCTTCTCCTCAGGACCATGAAGGAAGGGTCTGTTCCAGGCCTCTGGCTTTGACTTGTAGGTAAATATCTTCTTCCTGTGTCTTCACGCTGTTTTTCCTTTGTATGTCTGTGTCCAAATTTCCTCTCCTTAGAAGGATACTAGTCATATTCAATTAGGGTCCATCCTAATGACTTCATTTTAACTTAATTACCTCTTTAAAGATCCTGTATCCCAAGATAGTCACATGCTGAGATATATGGGGTTAGGATTTCAACATGTGAATTTTGGGGAAACACAGCCCATGATATCACACATGACTACTGTGTATCCACATCTTTGTATTGCCTGTTTTCTCCTATCCACATCCCTGAGATATCCAAAGACATTTATGTTTACTTGCAAAATGTGTCCAGTGACCTGTGATTATGAGTGATTATTTTTCTAGATATGACTTATTATTTTTAAAATTTTACTTTTTAATTGACAGATAATAGAAGTATCCAGCCTGGCCAACATGGCAAAACCCCATTTCTAATGAAAATAAAAAATTAGCCAGGCGTGGTGGCAGTCTCCTGTAATCCCAGCTATTTGGGAGGCTAAGGCAGGAGAATCTCTTGAATCCAGGAAGCAGAGGTTGCAGTGAGCCAAGATTGCACCACTGTGCTCTAGCCTGGGCAACAGAGAGAGACTGTCATAAAAAAAAAATAGAGGTATACATTTGGGGGGCACAAGTGATAATTGAATATATTTGTATAATTTGTAAAGGTCAAATAAATATAATTGGGATATCTATCACCTTGTTTATCTTTTATTTATGTTAAAAACATTTGAATTATTCTCTTCTAGCTATTTTGAAATATATAAGACATAATTTTAAGCTATACTAGAAAGTTCTTGGTTAGGAAGGATTACTCTATTTGGAATGATGCTTCATCTAGTGTTCACCATATTCTACTACTTTTCTTAAAGTTTTAAAAATGAATGAAGGGGAACTATGTTGAAGAAGGGGTCCTTTCTTTAAAAGTTATGTTGTTACAGAGCACTATGGATTCATAGTTAAAAAATTGTATCAAATATCATATGTGAGAGGAAAGAGTGGTCTATATAAGACATTACTTTTAATAATTCAATAAATAACATTACCCCATCATTTACTGTCACCACCAGTTATGATGTACTTTTATCTTATGTGGAGACTGAGAGTGAGTTTAGTCATTTACCCAAGATTTCACAGATCTTGGTGAAGCACAGGTCAGTGGTGTAGATACTGTTTGCCCTACGTATACTGTGTAACTCCTGACTTTGAGCTCTTAATCATTCATAATAAAAATAGACAAAAAGATGCAAACTTGTCCTGATGCACTTTTCAGATATGAATTTTAATCTTTATTTTATATTGCAATGTTACCAACAGAGATAATTCAGTATTTGTATCATTGTTGATATGTTGTGTCAAAATGTGTCTGTCCATCTGAGATAGTAAATTTAAAAGTGACAGGACTTAATCCACAACCAAATCAGAATATTATAGTTTATTTCATATATATCTTGAATTAAATAGAAACAATTAAATAACTGTTAAAAAGTTTGGACTTCCCTCTTTGTAGTTTTAAAACATGATTTTTGTTTATCTCTTGTACCAGTTGAATGGGGCAGCTTGACTGCTTGGAGACATCAGGAAAGGCTTCCAGGGAAAGCTGAATTTTGTAGGATAAATATGGGTTAGAACAGGGTGCTTCAGGAACACTGAACAGGGTACTTCAGAAAAGTCCTTGTAAATGCATAGGGGTATGTCAGAGCTTGATATTTTTGGGTAAATGTAAGTAGTAACATATGCAGGCAGTGGTGTTGAGAAATGACAGTGGATTAAAAGGCTAGCCCAGATTTAAAAGGTAACTATGAAGCTGCTCAAAGAGCTTAACCACGGGAGTGGAATGAACATATTGGACTTATCAAAATATTATATAATAGACAATCTAAATGGGCTCATATCTATTAAATAATTGAATTAATAATAAGTATAATTTCTAGAACAGAAATCACTAAGCCCAGATGGGCTCACTGGCAAATCCTACCAAATGTTTAAGAAAAATATTATACCAGTGCTCTACAACCTTTTGGAAGATAGAAGCAGAGGAAACACTTCCTAACTCATTTTATGAGGCCATAATTACTTTAATACCTAATACCAAAATCAGACAAAGATATTAGAAAAAAAGAAAACTACAGACCAATATGTCTCATGAACATAGATGCAAAAGTCCTCAACAAAATATTAGCAAATTTAATCCAATGATATATGAAGGAAATTATGCATTATGACCAAGTGCAGTTTATTCTAATAATGCAAAGCTGGTCCAACATTTGAAAATCAATTAATGTAATCTGTCATGTCAACAGGGTAAAGAAGAAAAATCACATGATCATATCAATAGATGCAGAAAAAATGTCTGACAAAAACCAGCTCTCATTTATGGTCAGGACTCTCAGCAAACTACTAATAGAGGGGAACTTACTCAACTGATAAAGACCATGTGCAAAACTCTTTCAGCTAACATGGTACTTAATGGTAAGAAATTGAAGCTTTCCCACTAAGATCAGGAGCAAGGCAAGATGTCTCTTTCCACTAACCCGTTTCAACATCATATTTATTGGAAGACCCAGCTAATGCAATATGACAAGAAAAGGAAGTAAAAAGTATACAGATTAGGAAGAAGAAAATAGAACTGCCTTTGTTTGCAGATGACGTGATTGTCTATGTAGAAAATCTGAAAGAATTGACCAAAAAAAAAAAAAAAAAACCCTTCTGGAGCTAATAAGCAATTATAACAAGGTGGCAAAAGTTAATTGCTTTCCTATATGCCAGCAACAAACAAATGTGATTTAAAATTAAAAACATCTCGTTTACAATAGTGCCCCCAAATTAAATACTTAGGCATAAAACTAACAAAATAGACAAGACCTTTATGAGGGAAGTTATAAAACTCTGATGAAGAAATAAAAATCTAAGTAAATGGAGAGAGAGTCCATGTTTATGGATAGGAAGACTCAATATTATCAAGACATCACTTCTTCCCAACTTGATGTATAGATCCAAGGCAAACCCAATCAAAATCCCAGAAAATAATTTCCTGGATATCAACAAACTGATTCTTAAGTTTATGAGGACTGCAAATGGTTTGGGTTCTTTACTTGGAGGATGACTGTATCCGTCAGGATACAGTCAGAACAACAGAAACCACACTTGGTATTTCTTTTTTTTTTTTCTGCGATGGAATCTTGCTCTGTCGCCAGGCTGGAGTGCAGTGGTATGATCTCCGCTCACTGCGACATCTGCCTCCAGGGTTCAAGCGATTCCCCTGCCTCAGCCTCCCGAGTAGCTGGAACTACAGGTGTGTGCCACCACACCTGGCTCGTTTTTTGTATTTTAATAGAGAAGGGGTTTCACCACGTTGGTCAGGATGGTTTCGATCTCCTGACCTTGTGGTCCACCTGCCTCGGCCTCCCAAAGTGCTGGGATTACAGGCATGAGCCACTGCGCCCAGCCTATACTTGGTATTTCCACAGAGATAATTCAATATAAGAAATTAGCTAAGGAGTTTTGGGGAGCCAAAAAAGCAAAAAAAAAGTTGAGGGGGCAGATATTGAACTAATATAGATATAGTAACTATAGGAGGAAGCTACCACCCCTAGGGTTGAGGACACAAAAGGAAGTTTGCACAAAAGGAAACTTAAAGAGAGGTATCTCAGACTTCTGAGGAGGGCCACTGCCTGACTCTTGCTGGCATCATTGGATGAGGCATGTTGAGGCTGGTTCTAGGAATTCCAAAAAAGTTGAGTATTATAAATGATAGCCACTTGTCAGGAAGGAAGCATATCCTATCTCATTCTTTCTGCCTTGAAGAACTAACAGGAAGCCAACTGGCAAAGTAGAAATATAGTTCTCATAGTTCCAGCCTTGTTGTCATAAAGAAGAGTTATGTGTGTGAGTTTGGACTGAGAGACAATGGCATAACAACTGGGACAGCTCATTACTTTGCTTAGTCAATATTCATACACAACTTTCTCTGTATATTTGAGCTTCCCATACAGCAGTTTAAAAATGGCAGCTTTTTCTTTAACAAGATACAGCTATCCTTTGTACAAATTGACACTCTCAGCCAGGCGCAGAGACTGATGCCTGTAATCTCAGCACTTTGGGAGGCCGAGGCAGGTGGATCGCTTGAGCCCAGAAGTTCGAGACCAGTCTGGGCAACATGACGAAATCCCATCTCTACTAAAAATAAAAAAATTAGCTGGGTGTAGGGGCGCATGCCTGTAATCCCAGCAATTCAGTAGGCTGAGGCACGAGAATAGCTTGAACCTGGGAGGTGGAGGTTGCAGTGAGCTGAAATTGTGCCACTGCACTCCAACCTGGGTGACACAATGAGACTCAAAAAAATAAAAATAAAAATAAATAAATTGACATTCTTACCCCTTCTCCATAAAGAGATGATCCCAAATGTCATTACATTTATCTCTGGATTGTGTGTTAATTACTCCTCAATTCAGTAAAGTCCCTTATGAACCTTCTATAACCTAAAGATGAAATTGTAAAGTTAATTGCCATTAATTTTTAAAATTACAGTGGGAAAGGAGAAGACAAATTTGTTAATATATACAGAAATACATAAAAACACACATATGTTAAGCAAGTAAGAAATAATGCTTAGTTATTAGTCCTTATTTCTGTCTAGTCATGAGCCTGTGGTTAGTGTCCCTTCCTCCCCAGCTCATTTCGTGCTTCCTGTACTCTGAGCCAGCATATACCAAGTGGTGTTATCCAAACTGTCATTCCTGAAGGGTCTGAATCTTCAGTGGTCCTGTCTTTTCTTGGTTATTATAGTTTTTTAAATTAACTTTTACTATCAGCAGTGGGAACACAGGGGTGCCATGTTGTCATGAATGGCGGCATCCCCATATATAGTCCTTCCTGGTTTCACTTTGTAGCAGCAAGCCAGAGTTTCTTTAGTTGTCAGGATCTATCACTCCAGCCAGTAATTCCTTTCTTTGTCCATTGGTTCAGTTGCATATGGAATCCAAAATGGCCATTTATTTAGCTGTTAGAAACTCAATGGAAGCATTCTCTCTTGGGAATTAAAAAAGTTCAAGTTATGGGAAGCAGAATTCTGTGAAGAAGTGTAATAATGAGAAAAGCCACTTTCCCTTCTACTTCTTGACTGTGGACCTGTGTATTGTGGCTTTGGGAGAAATAGTGCCATACATTCGTAAATGACTAAAAGCATATATTGTTCTTTGAAAACAGAGTTCCAACCTTACAAAATGTTTCTCAGGTCATGTTGTAACTGAGTCTTTAGTAGGCCATCCCATTGTTATATTGGGCCAGATACTTTTAGATGGTGGGATATGCAGTAAGGCTACTTATTTCCATAATTTGCAAACTCTAATTACACTTCTAAGATGTGTTCCTTAGAAGCTGTGTTGAGTAGGATACCATGATATTGAGTAAGGAATTATGTGGTGGTGCTGACAGAAACACAATAGGCAGGAAAGGTAAATCAATAAACAGAATAGGTGTCTATTCCAGCACAAACAAATGGCTTTCATTTCCACGATGGAAGGGGTGCCTTATAATCAACCTACTAATACACAGTTGCCTGATCCCCTCAGGAAATGGTGCCATATTGGGGACTTACAGTTTAGATTCTGCTTTTGATAATATGGGCACTCAACTATGCCAATAGTCTTATTATCATGGTGAGCACTTTGTTGGGTCTGTGCTTCATCTCTGCCACTATGGCCATTTTGTACACAAGCCCCTTAAAACAGAAGATGAGGAAGGATGCTGACTGATAGTCCCAGAACAGGTCACTTTGTTCACCCCTTATTGAGGCCTCCTCTGCAGTGGCTATATCTTGGTAAGCACTCACACAAATTCTTTCACATCTAGTGTTTATTCTGAAAGATCTGTGCATGTGTCTCTTCTTCAGTCTTCCTTGTTATCAGTCTTGTTCTTTTCCATTTCGTGACCAGGTGACCAAAGCATTATTCACAGTCCACAGATGAATGTACATCTGTACCACAAGCTACCCCTCCTTCCTGGCTGAGAGGACTTCAAGGTGTACTGCTAAAACTTCTGCCTGCTGGAAGTTTCTTCACCATTTCCCTTCAGCAGCATCTCTGAGTGAGTATACTGGTACTAGTGTCATGTGGACACCCTTCTGTAAACCAGGCCCAAGTTGGTATAAAAATCTTTTAAATTTTTCATTTAGAAAATTTTAAATTGACACATAATAATTGTTCATATTTATGAGGTACATAGCTATGTTGTGATACATACAATGGATAGTGATCAAATCAGGGTAATTAGCATATCCATCACCTCAAACATTTCTCATTTCTTTGTGTTGGGAATATTCAATATCCTTTTTCTAGCTATTTGAAACTATAAGATACTGTTAATTATAGTTATTCCATAGTAGCATAGAACACTATAACTTATTTCTCCTATCCATTTGTATCCTTTAACAAATCTCTATCTCCCTCTTCCCCCTACTCTTCTCAGCCTTTAGTATCCTTTATTCTACTTTTTAATTCTATGAGATCAACTTTTTTTAGCTTCCACATATGAGTGAGAACATGCAGTATTTGACTTTCTGTTCCTGGCTTATTTTGCTTACTATAATGTCCTCCATTTTCATCCATGTTGCCCTGAATTACAGGATTTTATTCATTATTATGGCTGAATAGTACTCCATTGTATATTTATATACCACATTTTTCTTATTCATCCATCTGTTGTTGGACACATAGGTTGATTCCATATCTTGGCTCTCATGATAGTGCTGAAGTAAAGATAGGGATGCAGGTTTCTCTTCAATATGTTGATTTCCTTTCCTTTGGGTAAATACCTAGTAGAGGAATTTCTGCAACATATTGTAGCTCTACTTGTAGTCTTTTGAGGAATCTCCAGACTGTTCTCCCTACTGGCTGTACTAGTTTACATTCCCACCAAGTGTATGAGAGTTCCCTTCTCTCTGCATCCTTGCCAGCATTTTTATTCGTTTATAATAGCCATCCTAACTGGGTGAGATGTTATATCATTGGGGTTGTGATTTGCATTTCCCTGATAATTAGTGATTTGAGCATTTTTTCATATACCTGTTGGTCATTTGTATGTCTTCTTTTGAAAAATGTCTGTTCAGATCACTTGCCCATGTTTTAATCATAGTGTTTAGTTTTTTTTAATTTTTATTTTTTGCTGTTGAGACATTTAAGTTCCTGTGTGTTCTGGATGTCAATATCTGGTCAGATGAGTAGTTTGCAGATATTTTCTCCCATTCTGTAAGTTGTCTTTTCATTGTGTTGATTGTTTTCTTTACTGTGCAGAAGCTTTTTAGTTTGATATAATCCCATTTATTTTTGCATTTGTTGCCTGTGCTTTTGAGGTCTTATGCATAAAATATTTTCCCAGAGCAATGTCCTAAAGCATTTCCCTTCTGCTTTTTTCTAGTACTTTTTTTTTCCTAGTACCTAGTCATGTAGTCCTCAATAATCTAGTACTTTTATCGTTTTGGGTTTTACACTTAGGTCTTTGATCCATTTTGAGTTGATTTTTGTGTATGGTGAGAGATAGGAGTCTAGTTTAATTCTTCTGTGTATAGATATTCTGTCTTCCCAGCACTAGTTATTTATTTATTTGAGACATGGTCTTGCTTTATCACCCAGACTGGAGTGCAATGGTGCAATCATGGCTTTCTGCACCTCAGCTTCCCAGGTTAAAGTGATCCTCCCACTTCAGCCTCCTGAGTCACTGGGACTATAGGTGCATGCCACCACGCCTGGCTGTTTTAAAAATATATATTTTGTGTGTTTGTAGAGAGGGGTCTCCCTTTGTTGCCCAGGCTGGTCTTGAACTTCTGGGCTCAAGCAATCCTCCCTACTTATCCTCTCAAAGTGTTGTGATTACAGGTGTGAGCCATCATGCTTGGCCCAGCACTATTTATTGAAGAGACTATCCTTTTCCCAATGTATGTTCTTTGTCCCTTTGTCAAAAATCAGTTGGCTGTAGATACACAGATTAATTTCTGGGTTCTCTATTCTGTCTCATTGGTCTATGTGTCTGTTTTTTTTAATCAGTGACATGCTGTTTTGGTTACTATGACTTTGTAGTATAGTTTGAAGTCAGATAGGATGATGCCTCCAGTTTTGTTTTTTTGCTTGGGTCTGCCTTGGATAGGCAAGATCTTTTGTGGTTCTGTATAAATTTTAGACTTTCTTTCTGTTTCTATGAAGAATATCATTGGCATTTTGGGGATATGGCCCAAGTGTATTTTCCCCCCTCTTTCAACAGGTCATAAGAAACTCCCCATAAAACCACAAATGCTGGTTGAGGGAGAGGCCATAAGGCAGCAGAAGTAGGTACTGTGGGGGTCTGGGCCACTTGCTCTTGTAACTTACTTGTGCTATGAGCTTGCGTGAGAATCTGATCTTGCACATACTAGGTCTATTTACTGATGGATTGCTGCTGCACAACATTATAGCTAGGTCTTGTTCATAATGGGCAAATTAGGTCATATAGTAGTTAGGTCATGTAATAGGAATTCCATGGTTGAACAGTGTCTACCAGGACATAATAGTAAGCTATGAGCCGCTTCTTTAAGGGAGCAGAGGAGGGTATGGTTCTGTTTGCTAGCTATGTGTTGTGTCATTTTCCTGCAGAGGCTTGCCAGAGGAGCTATGTAGCACTCTTACCAGACACTTGGAGCACCACTGGGTAGACAGACTGGAGTGGCACTGCCTTGACCTATTGTAGAGTCTTCTCTTGCTTCAGGCACCATTCAGAAGTAGCAGCCTTACAAATTACTTGGCACAACTAGATCAGAGCAGAGCATTGAATTGTGGTTTTTGTTGCCTACAAAATCTAAAGAGGCCCAGGACTGGCACAATGATCCTGAACTTGGAGAACAAGGACTGCATAACATTAACTATTGATATAGCAGCCAGATGTGACTTTGTTTTCCCTTCATATGTGGTTGTATATAAAACAGTACATTTTGTTAAGTAAGAATTTTCTGGGCTTGTGTTATCATAAGAGAGGTATATGTGTGTCCTATAAACTGTCTGAATATTTCTTTCTTTCTTTTTTTTTTTTTTTTGGGGTCTACATAGCATCTCTTGGTCTGGGCAAACTTCCCTTCTCGATTTTGGTGGTTCTGATGAGTAAAGGTAAATTACCAGATAGCAAAGCAAGAGAGCATTCTAGAAAATAAGATCAGTGAAAGCAAAGGCCTATAGGCATGGTGGGTTCTGGGAGCAGTAATTAGTTCAGTTGAGTAGTAAGTAGCACTGAGGGTAAAGAATATAAAGAATGGAGTGATAGGAGATAAAATTGGAAATATTAGGTAGGGCTATACTGGGAGGAGCTATTTTTTTGTTTGTTTGAGACGGAGTTTGGCTCTTTTTGCCCACACCGGAGTGCAATGGCGTGATCTCAGCTCACCAAAACTTCTGCCTCCTGGGTTCAAGCAATTCTCCTGCCTCAGCCTCCTGAGTAGGTGGGATTACAGGCATGTGCCACCACACCCAGCTATTTTTGTATTTTTAGTAGAGACAGGGTTCTCCATGTTGGTCAGGCTGGTCTCAAACTCCCAGCCTCAGGTGATCCACCCACATCGGCCTCCCAAAGTGCTGAGATTACAGGTGTGAACCACCATGCCCAGCAGGAAGAGCTTTATGTGCCATATAAAGAAGGTGGACAAAATCCTAGGCTGAGGGGAAGTAGTGATGATTTATTTTTTCTTTGGCAGGGCTGTGATGTGATCACATCACATTGGTGTGAAAGATATTTCATGAGAGAGAATTGGAGATGAGTAATACTAGGGGTAGAATTATTATTATTGAAGATTACCAAGTAATTCTGAATAAAATGATGAGACATAAGCTAAGTAAGGTAGGGCGAATTAGAGGAGAAAATGAATTTAAATGATACATAGGAAGTGGAATTGACAGACTCAGTGGCTGACTATATGCGGAGTGGGAGGAGAGAACAAGAATTTATATATGTGGTTAAAAATTTTACAGTTGCATAACACAATCCAGTTTGAGCTTGAGTGGGGTTCAGAGAGATGTGGGCCTAGTGTAGAGTGACCAGCTGTTCTGGTTTATCCAAGATTAAGGGATTTCATGGGATGTGAGACTTCCAGTGCTAAAACTGTGAAAGTCCCCAGCAAACTAGGATAAGTTAGTCATGCTAACCTAATATGAACAGTGGACAGATTAGTGATGGGAGCTTATCAGCATAAGCACTGAGACACCTTCTGGGATAACCATGACCTGGCAAGTGATCCTTTAGTGGTGCAAAGAAATGGTGGTCCTTGACAATGGATGGTAGCTGCCATTCAAATCTACTCCACAGTGGATCCAATCTGGGGTTCCATAGAGAAAGGATGTTGGAAGTAAAATATGAAAGAACTGTTTCACTAACTTGTGACCTGCTTTAACAGAGTATAACTCAGAGGGGACAGATTCTTTTTCACCATGGACCACCTCACAGCTCTGGAAACCTGAGGGCTTTAGTACATTGGGAAATTCGGTTAAATACAGGTTGGGGAGTTGCAAGGGATGGAGAGGGTGGGGAAGAGGGAAGAGGAACTGGTAACCTGTACTGGTACACAGAAGAACTAAACTACTTAGCAGAGCAGAATAACATCTGTGCATTGGGGCATAAATCAGTGAAATATGAGTTATTACAGCAAAGGTGACAGCAGACTTTTCTTGAAGCAATTCCTTTCAGAAGGAAAGACTATTGATTACTTTGTTACATTTCTCCATCTAGTGGTAACTCTCATGTACTTTTTTCCTAGATAGATGTTTCAAAGAAGGCAGATTAAAAACTTGAGAAATGTTTCCAGAGTCATCATTTATTCACTCATTCATTCATTCACTTCACAAATACTGAATGAGTATGCATGCCTTCTATATGGCAGTTACATTTCTAGCCATTGGGGTTACGGCTGTGAACAAAACTGAAAAAACTCTGAACTCATGGAACCTTACAATGATAAAAGAGTACATTTCATTTTTTTTCTATGTGAATATTCTGTTTTCAAAGCACCATTTACTGAAAAGATTATCTTTTTTCTATAGGACTCTGCAGTGCCATTACTGTTATATATGAAGTGTCCATTTATGTGTGAGTCATTGCATATCTTGGTTATGTTCCATTGATTTATTTGTCAATTTCTGTGACAATGTCATATGTCTTTTTCATTTTACTTTATAATCATTATTAACATTTAGTACAGCAAGAATTCCTTCCTTATTTTTTAAAAGAGTGTTTTGGATATTCTTGGCCTTTAAATTTTCCATAAAGTTTAAAATTAGTCTCTGAGATTCTATCAAAATACCCTATTGGGAATATTTACTGGGATTGAACTGAATCATTAAGTCATTTTAGAGTAAACTGACATTTTTATACTATTGGACCTTCCAATTCACCATTTACATCAGTCTTTAGTGTCTTTGAATAGACATAAAAGTCTTATATATCTTTTGATATATTTATTTGTAGATACTTGATTTTTTTAGGCCAAAAAGGCATCTTTAAAAAGTTATCTGCTAACAATTTATGGCTGGTATTTGGAAATGTAGCTACTTTTGTCATATTGATTCTTCATCTAGGAATTTTGCTAAATACTCTTATAATTCTAATAAATCTCTTTTCCCTACACATATAATTTATCATCTGTGGATAATTATACCATTAATTTATTTTTCTTATCCTTCATGTACTATTTAGAAGTTGTATACAACATAGAATAGAAATGGGGATATTGGGCACCCTTTAATTGTTCCTGAATTTAGAGGAAAAGCTTTTGACATAAACCATTAATTTTCTTTGGTTTTCTGCAGATACTTTTTATTAGAATAGGAACTTTCATTCTATTTCTTTTTTCTTAAGTGTTTAAAAATCATGAGTGGATATTAAGTTTTATCAAATGCTTTAAAATTTTTGCATCTATGTAGAAATATCAGAACTTCTTTTCTGCTTGAATCTCTTAATATGATGAAGAACTGGTACCAATTCTGAAACTATTCAAAAAATTCGAGGAGGAAGGACTCCTCCCTAACTCATTTGATAAAGCCAGCATCACCCTGATACCCAAATCTGGCAAAGACACAATAATAAAAGAAAACTATAGGCTAATATTCCTGATGAATGTATATGCAAAAATCCTCAACAAAATACTACCAAATTGAATCCAGAAGCACGTTAAAAAGTTCATTCATCATGATCAATTTGGTTTCATTCCTGGGGTGCAAGGTTGGTTCAATATACGCAAATCGATAAATGTGGTTCACCACATACACAGAATTAAAAACAAAAACCATATGATTTTCTCAATAGACACAGAAAAAGCTTTTTATAAAATCCAACATCCCTTCATGATAAAAGCCCTCAAAAAAAACTAGTTACCAAAGGAAGACTAAATGGCTCAAAATAAGAGTCATCTATGACAAACCAGCCAACATCATAGTGAAGGGGCAAAAACTGGACGCATTCTCCTGAGGAACTGGAACAAGACAAGAATGCTCACTGTCACTACTACTATTCAACATAGTAATGAAAGTCCTTGCCAGAGCAATCAGGCAAGAGAAAGAAATAAAAGACATCCAAATAGGAAAAGAAGAAATCAAACTATCTCTCTTTATTGATGATAGGAATCTATACATAGCATGGTACTGGTACCAAAACAGAGATATAGACCAATGGAACAAAACAGAGGCCTCAGAAGTAACACCACACATCTACAACCATCTGATCTTTGACAAACTGGACAAAAACAAGCAATGGGAAGGATTCCCTGTTTAACAAATAGTGTTGGGAAAACTGGCTAGTCATGTGCAGAAAGCTGAAACTGGACCCCTTCCTTACACCATATACAAAAATTAACTCCAGATAGATTAAAGTTTTAAACATAAGACCTAACACCATAAAAACCTTAGGAGAAAGCCTAGGCAATACCATTCAGGACATAGGCACAGGCAAGGGCTTCATAACTAAAACACCAAAAACAATGCTAATAAAAGCCAAAATAGACAAATGGGATCTAATTAAACTTAAGAGTTTCTGCACAGCAAAAGAAACAATCATTAGAGTGAGCCGGCGACCAACAGAATGGGAAAAAAAGTTTGCAAGTTACCCATCTGACAAAGGGCTAATATCCAGAATCTACAAAGAACTAAAACAAATATACAAGAAAAAAACCCCTCAAAAAGTGGGCAAGAGATAGGAACAGACACTTTTCAAAAGACATTTATGTGGCCAACAAACATATGAAAAAATGTTCATCATCACTGTTCATTAGAGAAATGCAAATCAAAACCACATTGATATACCATCTCATGCCAGTTAGAATGGGGATCATTAAAAAATCTGGAGACAATAGATGCTGGAGAGGATGTGGAGAATTGGAACACTTTTAAACTTTTGGTGGGATTGTAAATTAGTTCAACCATTGTGGAAGACAGTGTAGCAATTCCTCAAAGATCTAGAAATACAAATACCATTTGACCCAGCAATCCCATTACTGGGTATATACCCAAAGGATTATAAATTGATCTATTATAAAGACACATGCACACACTGCTTACAATAGCAAAGACTTGGAACCAACCCAGATGCCCATCATTGATAGACTGGTTAAAGAAAATGTGGCACATATACACCATGGAATACTATGCAGCCATAAAAAGAATGAGTTCATGTCCTTTGCAGGGACATGGGTGAATCTGGAAACCAACATTCTCAGCAAACTGACACAAGAACAGAAAACCAAACACTGCATGTTCTCGCTCATAAGTGAATGTTGAACAATGAGAACACATGGACACAGGGAGAAGAACATTACACACTGGGGTCTATTGGAGGGGGGTCTAGGGGAGAGATAGCAGGGGGTGGGGAGATTGGGGAGGGATAACATTAGGAGAAATACCTAACGTAGGTGACGGAGGGATGGAGGCAGCAAACCTCCATGGCGTGTGTATAATTGTGTAACAGTCCTGCAAGATCTGCACATGTACTCCAGAACTTAAAGTGAAATTAAAAAAAAAAGAAAAGAAAACCTTAAGGACTGCCCAAAGTCTCCTAGAACTGATAAACAACCTCAGCAAAATTTTCAGATACAGAATCAATGTACAAAAACCAATAGCATTTTTAGACACCAATAACATTCAAGCTGAGAGCCAAACCAAGAATGCAATGCCATTTACAATAGCTGAAAAATAAAATCCCTAAGAATACAAGTAGCTAGGGAGGTGAAAGATCTCACAAGAACTACAAAACACTGCTGAAAAAAAAAAACATACATGACACAAACAAATGGAAAAACAGTTCATGCTCATGGATTAGAAGAATCGGTATTGTTAAAATGGCAAGAAGCAATCTCCAGATTCAATGCTATTCTTATAAAGCTACCAACATCATTTTTCACAGAACTGGAAAAAAAACTATTCTAAAATTCATATGGAACCAAAAAAGAGTCCGGATAGCCAAAGCAATCCTAAGCAAAAAGAACAAAGCTGGAGGCATCGCGTTGCCAACTTCAAACTATACCACAAGTCTAAGTACCAAAACAACATGATACTAGGACAAAAACAGATACATAGACCAATAGAACAGAATAAAGAACCCAGAAATAAAGCCACACACCTACAACCACCTGATCTTTAACAAAGTCAGCAAAAATAAACAACAGGGAAAGGACTCTCTATTCAATAAATGGTGCTGGGATAACTGGCTAGCCACATGCAGAAGTCTGAAACTGGACACCTACCTTTTATCAAATACAAAAATTAACTCAAGATGAATTAAATATTTTAAATGTAAGACCTCGAACTATAAGAATCCTAAAAGAAAACCTAAGAAACCCATTCTGCCATCTGCCTTGAGAAATAATTCATAACTGAGTCCTCAAAAGCAATTGCAAAAGAAACAAATTGACCAGTGATACCTAATTAAACTAACAAGCTTCCAATTAAAGCTACCAATTAAAGTAACTATCAACAGAGTAAACAACCTACAGAATGGGAGAAAATGTTTGCAAACTATGCATTTGACAAAAGTCTAGTATCTAGAGCTATAAGGAACCTAAACAAATCAACAAGCAAAAAAAAAAAAAAAAAACCCATTTAAAAAAAATGAGCGAAAGACATGACTAGACACTTCTTAAAAGAAGACCTATATATGAAAGGCCAACCAATATATGAAAAAATGCTCCACATAACTAATGATCAGAGAACTGCAAATCAGAACCATAACGAGATACCATCTTACACCAGTTAGAATGACTATTATTATTATTTTATTTATATTTATATTTTTGAGATGGAGTCTTGCTCTGTCACCGGGCTGGAGTGCAGTGGCATGATCTCCGCTCACTGCAACCTCTGCCTCCCGAGTTCAAGCGATTCTTCTGCCTCAGCCTCCTGAGTAGCTGAGACTACAGGTGTACACTGCCACACCCAGCAAATTTTTGTCTTTTTAGTAGAGATGAGGTTTCACCAAGTTGGCCAGGATGGTCTTCATCTCTTGACCTCGTGATCCACCACCCACCTTGGCCTCCCAAAGTGCTGGGATTACAGGCATGAGCCACTGTACCCAGCCAGCTACTATTAAAAACGTAAAAAAAAAAAAAAAAAAAAAAATAGATGCTGGTGAGCCTGCAGAGAAAAGGGAACAATTATATGCTATTGGTGAGAATGTAAATTTAGTTTAGTTACTGTAGAAAGCAGTTTATTGAGTTGTGTGAGTTCTTTATATATTGTACATACCAAACTCATCAGAAATTATTTGCAAATATTTTCTCTCATTTTATGGGTTGTCTTTCCACTTTGTTGATAATATTTTTTGATACACTAAAGTTTGTTATTTTGATGAATTCTGATTTATTTTTTCTTTTGATTGTGCTTTTGGTGTCACAACTTAAAAATCAGTGCCAGCTGTGCATGGTGGTGCATCGCTGTTGTCCCAGCTACGTGGGAGGCTGAAGCAGGAGGATCCCTTGAGCCCAGGAGTTTGAGGTTTCTATGCTGTACTATAGTGAAACAGTATATTACAGTGAAACAGCCTATTATAG